GTTGCTCAGCGACAGCCCCGAAACCTGACAGATCTAGAGGAGATCTGTGTGGAGGAGTGGGCCAAAATCCCTGTTGCAGTGTGTGCAAATCTGGTCAAGAACTACAGGAAACGTTTGACCTCTGTAATTGCAAACAAAGGTTTCTGTACCAAATATTAACACTGATTTTCTCAGGTGTTCAAATACTTATGTTCAGCAGTGCAAGACAAATAAATTCTTTAGAAAATCATACAATGTGAGTTCCTGAATTTTTTTTTTAAATTCTGTCTCTCAGAGTGGGAATGCACCTACAATGTGAATTTCAGACCCCTCCATGATTTCTAAGTGGGAGAACTTGCAAAATCGCAGGGTGTTCAAATACTTCTGTTCCTCACTGTATATTTTGTTCCTTCAATTTCACAGAAATTTCAGTTGATGATTGCAATTTGATTACTTTATTGTTATTTGCATTTGTTTCCTGTTATTAATATTCTACATTAAAAATATTTGTCTTATTTTATTCGGGCTACTTAAATTCATTTCGGGCTACTAAAATTTAAAGAGTACCTGCCCGAGGGGCTACCAGGGATTTTTAAATTTTGCGAGCCCTGGGGAGTTATTTCTGTCATTTCTGCGGTAGTCTGTGCAGTGGGCTACCATGTCTTTTTCTTTTTTTTTCTTTTTTTTTTTTTTTCTTTTGTCTCAACCTGGCTGGGCCAGACCAAGGTGACATGAGGCAACGCAACAGTCCGGCCCTCATGCCATCATCATGGTCTGTGTAACTGTTTGGTCAAAACATACACACCAGTAGCCTGCTGGAGGTCATTTTGTAGGGCTTTCGCAGTTCCTCCTTGCACAAAAGAGCAGATACTGCTCCTGCTGCTGGGTTGTTGCCCTTCTGTGGCCCTGTCCATCTCTCCTGGTGTAATGGCCAGACTCCTGGTGTCACCTCCATGCTCTTGAGACTGTGCTGACAGACATAGCAAACCTTTTTATAAGGATAAGGAGGGAGCATTTGTCTGTGACCACCATATGCAATATTCTGGGGGTTATCTTGCTTTTGTTTCTCCTTTGCACCTGTTGGCACTTTCACACCAAATCATGTGAAACTGATTCCCAGTGACTAGTGCTTCCTAAGTGGATAGACATAACTGACTTGATGTTATTCTGTGATGATTGTTCCTTAATATTTTTTGAGCAGCATATTTATGTTTGACAAACTAACTTAAACATTGAGAAACAGTGCTGCTATGTTATTGACAGTCCCCCAGATGAGAGAGCGAGACACAGCATAGTTGCACTAGACTATTTGTGTTATGTGTGTGGCATGTTGGTCCTTATGTGTTGTTACAAACAGGTGCGGCAGGGATGTTTTTCGCCTATAGCAGAAGTGCATGTGCTGGTCCTGGCCTGAGTGAACAAAGTGAAGCTCAAATCATGTGCATCAATGATGCTGCAATCAAATCAAGCAGTTTTACATGTACACTTAGTAATCAGCTGTGCATGACACACTGAGGCTACAGAATGGCCAAAAAATTTGGCACATGCTCTAGAGCCATGCTCACAGCTGTCGTGTTCATTGTGGCTGGTTGACATGTAAACTGACATGGACTACTGTACTGTATGTGCCTAATGCATAGTGTGCCATCTGTCAAGTTTATCTGGGTTTATATTCTGTCTTATGTTTCATCCTTTGACTGTATACTGTAACATTGTTTTTAGAGTTTGGAACAGCTGCACTTGTGCTGCTCTGGATGATGCTCAAAATATTCTCCAGTTCAACCATTTATAAAATATGCAACAAATACTAAAATGTCCACTGCTCTCCATTGTCTCAGACTGGGCAACCTGACTAACTCCCACTTTCAATGGGTCTCTCTCTCTCTCTCATATATGCTCTGGCCATTTTGTGTTAATACCGGAGATATTTTATTGGTAATATTTAACAAAGTTACCACTATTACATGTGAGTAATGCACACTGTAGCTCTGTCAGTCTATCTGTACTGTCTCATTCACTGACAACAGATGATGAATTCCAAAAAGTAGGTAGGTGGGGGATGGGGACAGTTTTGAATTATAGTGACTACTTTAATTTAAATATAAATTGTCCTTGCAGATTCTCAGTCATCCAGGTAAGCTGAAAAAACGTAGAAAAAAAAAATCAACTGGACTTGGTTTTAGGTCGAAGACATTTCACCTATCATCCAATAGGCTTCATCAGCTCTGCCCAACTGGCATTGAGCTGGAGATGCAGTCTTTATCCCCATCGGTGGTGTCTTCGACCTAAAACCAAGTCCAGTTGATTTTTTTTTTCTACGTTTTTTTCCCCCCAGCTTAAATATAAATTGAAACCTCCAACCTCTAGTAGGTAGTTATGCTGTTTTTATGTATGGGACTAACTGCTGACAGTTGTCTTAAATTAGGTCCCTATACAAACTGCAACCACAAATACTTGAATATGTTATCAGTAAAATCCTCCTGGCCAACCTATTTAAAAAAAAAAAAAAATCTTGCAGCATAATATCCGTTTTTCTGACAACAGCATTTTTTAAACATTTTATTTTGGTTATGTGTCGGCTCTCACAGCTCTAGGTTAAGAGATCCTTCAGAGACTTCAGATTTGATGACAGAGCAGAGAGAAAGCAGCATCAGCTAGAAGAAAGTCAATCAGAGAATTAAAACTAATTTGTGATTGTTTCACTGTGGTTACGTTCTAAAGCACAAATAAACACAGCCACACCTCTGCGCCCCCCTGTGGGACGGATTTTGTGTGAATGCAGCCAAAATGCATGCTTCTGTTTGTTCTGCTCTGCTGTGGGTGTGGGTGTGTGGCCCTGCCCTTGAGCAAATGCACAGACCTGAAGTTGGATGTACCAACTATAATAACAGCATGTTTACAGCCAACTTGAAAACAAAGCAGAGTGCACTGACTCTCAGACATCATCATAAGCATCACACATCTAGTACTGGGTTTGTGGTATTATCTCATTGTCCAGCAATGAGTCACTTTCCACATCGACTTTGAAAGGATTGCATATTCACTTGTCATCCCTGTCCTTTATGGAAAATAGCCATCAAATGGTAGTTTTCAAGACATGCTATTACAGTTTTTGTCATTGACTCCAAATCAGAATCGGCTTTGTTTATGTTAAGCATGCAAGGAATTTGGCTTTAGTACAGAGACTTTCAATGTGCTTTGTAAAGCAACAGGAAATAAAAAGTAACATCTATGAGCAGTTCTCCAGATCAGTTTCGTATCATTGACCACATGTTGTTCCTGCATCTTACTTCTCTACAGACTTAAAGGCTGGACCTGGACTGATGGATTCGCTATTGCCCAGCACCATGTCGTCCATTGCTAACCTGTCCAGCTGCATGAAAGATGGCGAGGATGATGATGGCGGTAACATTGCTCACTCAGTAGTCGGATGTGACAATGCTGAACCATTTTGTTGTTGCGGAAATATCACATCTGTGATGAAGCAAACAGTATAGTTTTAACCTTCTAATAGTCGTGTGTGTGTGTGTGTGTGTGTGTGTGTGTGTGTGTGTGTGTGTGTGTGTGTGTGTGTGTGTGTGTGTGTGTGTGTGTGTGTGTGTGTGTGTGTGTGCGTACGCACGTGTGTAGGGATTGAGCTGGACAAACTGGATACAGAGATGATTAAGATCCTGGCATGGCAGAGGATCCAGCAGATCTTCCCCCCAAAAGCACCTAGCAGTCTGCCTCCACGGGCCACCAGCACTGTACCCAAATTCCCACCGGCACACCCTGACAGTAAGACACTGAATTACCACTGACACTGCTGTTCAGTCTGCTTATCAAAACTCTGTAGTGTTATAATATTGAATAGTGAAAAGTTTTCTTAAAGTATCTCCAAAGTTTAAAACCTGGATATCTTCCTACCACCTACCAGGTCAGAAAAAGGTGCAGGCCCGAGCGGTCTTCTACCCTTTGACAGGAAAAGGAGGAGCTGTCAACATGTGTTATAGGACATTATATATAGGATCCGGTAAGACTATATCACAGTGACTTGAACAGCATTCACCCAACTGTATTTTGTGCACAATTGACAATTTTATATTCTTCTTTAGACTAAGAGAGACATTGGGCCTCATTCACCAATTGTTCTTAAGAACAAATTATTTATTTACTAAAACCCACTTCTGCAGTTTTCATGAAGATTCACCAATGTTTTCTGATCTGGAATTTGTTCTTAGGAAGACCAGAATTTACCCACACTTAAGAGCACATGCTCATATGATTGCTGACAGGTTTGTGTTATTGGGTGTTTAGTTTTCTTCAATTCTACAGTTTCTTAATAATCTAAGATTTAAATTACAATAACATTTTATTTATTTTTTTTATAATTTCCATTATTTTACAAAGCATGTTGGTCTTTTAAAATGAATAAACATTACACTAAAAATTACACTTAGTAATTGATTTCCCATTTATAAATGAAGGCTTTAAAATTAATTTTACTTTTATAGTGTGATTATTTATAGCTCAGAATTACCTAGGGTATCACTTAAACACATTTAAGTTCATATTTTTGTCTTTAATTTCTCTGTTTCTTAATCTGTCTATTGCTATGCTAAATAGACCTTTTTCCACAGCAGACATTTTGATATATCATTAGGAAAATCACAGGTGTAATTCAAAACACTTAGAGAGGTCTATAGGAGCAACTGGTATATGGATTAATCATTGTAAGAACACAGTTGCAAATAATTCTGCATTTGAAGAACATGTTCATGTATCAGACTTTTTTAGGACCATTCTTTAGAAGAAGTACATTGAAAATTTTAGGAAGATACTGGTGAATAAGGCCCAGTGTTATTGGTTTGACGGATACATATTTGTCAACACCTAGCACTGGTATTTTCACTAGGATTGAGTTTTAAATCCTCTTATACTTCTGTATACTGAAATTTGCTCAAATGCTTTCTCAGTTTCATGCTCTTCTTTACTTATTCTTTGACCAATTTCATATTTTCATTTTAAATCTGTTTTTCCAACTTCAGACTGTTTTGTGTAGGTACATTTTTGTAGAGCTGCTTAGACCAGTGGTTCTCCTCACTTTTTTGGCTAGTGGCTTTTTCCAAGTACTGAGCACTCAACACGCCTGCACATTTTAGGTCTATATTCAGCCTGTGACATTCTCATTTTATAACTTTTTAGAGGCTTAAAGAGGTGAAACTATCCAGTATTTTCATAATCAAAAAGTAAACATTACAGAAAAGTTTAAAAAAAATGTATAATGGATGTATATATGTAGTGGCAAGAAAAAGTATGTGAACCCTTACATTAAATGGTCAACATTTGTAAGCTGATGTTCATCTAAGTCAAAAGCGTAGACAAACATAATGAATGTACTTAAGCTACACACAAACATATCTTTTGTGTTTGTATAGAGAACATTCACAGTGCCAGAAGAAAAAGTAAGTGAACCCTTATGAATTTGGCAGCAATAACCTTAAACAAGCTTTTCCTACATAGACCTACACAATGTTTAGGAGGAATTTTGGACCATTCTTTCAGAACTGCTTTAGGTCAGCCATTTTCTTAGAATATCTGGTGTAAACAGCTGTCTTGATGTCATTCCACGCAATCTCTCTTCCACGGATCTTTAAAATGTCTAAAATTCAATAATCTGAATTTTAGGTTGTGAAAGGTCTTAACCCTGTAAAGCCCAACATATCAAAAAATAGCCAGAACATTCTAATTTTTTGGAACTGAGATGTTTATTAAACCTTTTAACAAAATCCAAAATAAAATTCATGATTCGAAATTCAAGATTCACGATTTTTATTTGCCATATATGCATAGACAGACAGTCCAGGCATATAGGAATAGATGTGCCATATTATTTAGATTATTTCTATTTCTTTTGTATCACATTTGATACATGGGGCATTTTTGGCTTTTTTTTTTTTTTTGCCCAGAAACCTCATGTGTCAAATATGATACACATGGTTTTATAGGGTTAAAAGGGTTATATATGCAATTTTGATAGGTCTTAAAAATTGTTGATCATGCTTAGGTTAAGTTGATTATTTTAACATTGAGTTGCCATTAAATCTGTAATGTCGTGCTTTCATGTATTTTGGGGAAAATGTTGAGGAGAGACGGTAGTACCACCAGTGGTATGTTGCTTCCATGTTGCAGTTCTTTCAGTTTATATTTATCACACTGTATTAAAACTACAAAACCAAACTAATTTGAATCCTCAGCATTTGCAGATTTTGCAGCCTACTCAGAATTTGCACTCAGCTAGCATGCTGTTGTGTGTGAGACAGAGGTAGAAGTCACACATGTGCAAGTCTCAAGCAAGTTGCTGTGGTAAAAATCAAGCAAGTCAAGTCTCTACTATTAGTCAAACATGTCAAGTGTACACAATTCTGATTATCTTTTCTAGTTTCCACATTTAAATTGGGTAAGGCGGTGATCACAAAAAGTTGTTTTATTTTAATGATCTTGGCAGTGCTCCACTCCACTTGCTATGGCTATTCCCAAAAAGGGGCAAAGAGGTGGAGCTTGATCAGAGCTCACTAGCTAGCTGGCAGCTAGCAACCTATGGCGGGACCCTGCCGCCTCTCACTCAGAGTGGCCATTCCCTTAATTATGCGCAATTTTAGTCTCAATATAATTTAAATAGGCAAGTTATAAAATAATTCACCCCTGTATAGTTGTCATGGAAGGGGAAATTAGCTATAAAGACCAAACCTTTTTTCTACCAGGCTGTGTAAACATGTTTATTTCTGCTGTAAAGTTGGGTATTTTAACATGGGAGTCTATGAGGGTTGATTCTCTTTTGAACCAGCCTCCAGTGTCCATTCAAGGAACTGCAGATTTTGGCTTCATTTCTCAGCCTCTGAGGTTGCTGCTTGAGTGGAACTAAAGGTTTTATATTTCATGGAGAACTATGCTCTCCATCCATCCATTTTCCTCTGCTTATCCGGAACCGGGTCGCGGGGGCAGCAGTCTAAGCAAAGATGCCCAGACTTCCCTTTCTCCAGACACTTCCTCCAGCTCCTCTGGGGGAATGCCAAGGCGTTCCCAGGCCAGCTGAGAGACATAGTCCCTCCAGTGTGTCCTGGGTCTTCCCTGGGGCCTCCTCCCAGTGGGACATGCCCGGAACACCTCCCTAGGAAGGCGCCCAGG